ACATTCAAATAGCCTAACTCCGAAGCTCAAACAAACCAATGTGCATTAACATATGGGCACATACACGCATATGAACACAAATATAATGAGTAAATCCGTGCGATTGACGACACATATGAATATATCACGTGATTAGATGGAATGACGTTTAAAGTCAGATACTGTGTAACACGTGAGCTAACGAGCTACTTACTTGTAAAGGTATCGAGGAAATATGTTTGCGTAATGTAGTTTGCAGTCTGAGTGAAAAAGTTCTGTAAAGTATGAGGTTTTGATTACGTAATAAATGTTTCTTTTAAAAACATAACCAATTAGATTCACATTTTTGGTAAAGTGTAACATCGTTCGGACTAAGTAGCATCACGAGAAAATTCGTATTAAGTTAAAAAGCAATTAGAAAGTACATTTATATATATGCGTATTTGTGAGTGTGTGCAGGTATGGTATTATTACGTCTCTGGTCGTTTGCTAATTTCCGGTATAAATTCTTCCCGAGGAACTTCAGCGATACAAGTCCTTTCTTTAAATAAAACTAGTTTATTCTTTCTCAATACAACTTTGCAATACACAGAATTTCCACAGTCACTTTAACTTAAACACACGCTATAATTCACAACGATTCACGCACTTTACTTACGGTCACTACCGCTCGCTTGACTCAATTATCTGTCTCTATATCTCTCTATCTGCTATTATCTCTCCGCTTTATTTGCCGGGCTTATATACTAAAATACAGGGCGCCTAGAAAAGACTAGAGTTGCCAGGAAAAGTCAAGATCCTTCGAGAATTTCATGACGTGTTACTAGAGTCACGTGACTTCCGCTGTCGTAACAGTATTTTTTGCGAGTTTAAAAACAACACACACACACATCAGAAAGCTGGGAATTTCTTTTCTTTCTTGCATATTGTTATGAATTGGAGTTCAATCAACGCCAAGTAATTAATCCTTGGCATTCTGAAGTTTAAATATACACAACCTTTTGCCTGCATATGAGGGATGGGATGAATGTGTTCCTTGTTTACTCTTTTACCTCTCTCTATGTTAATCTATGGCTGGAATGTGTAGAACGGTTTGTACAATGGCCTCTATGAAATATTTGCTCTGAGCTTTGTTTCAAAAGCTCTTTATATGCTTTATTTTATAAACAAAATAAAACACATTGCTGACTGCAGTTTGTGGAGATCAGATTTTTTAAGAAGTTCTACACATGAAACGATGGGTATCAAACCAGACATTTTAATGAGTTACTTAGTGTTTAGTTGGAGAAAACCACTAAGAAACACATTAAAACGTCTGTCTTGTTCTCCCATTAATACTATTTTTGTGCAAATATCTGTATGAGGGTACCAATTATTTTCGCGGATATTCGTAGTCGGTTTGTATTTCAAGGAATGCAAAAACTGAATGTTGATTTTCGGTAACTTTGAAGTTTTGATTCCGAACTTCACAAGATTGATGCTGCTTGCTATAACACCATATACTAAGCAGCATTTTTGTTGATACTGTGTTCACTGATGCTGCTTGTTATAACACCGTATACAAATAAGCATCTTTGTTGAGACTGTGTTAATTGATGCCGCTTGTTATTTATAACACCGTATACAAATAAGCATTTTCGTTGAGACTGTGTTAATTGATGCTGCTTGTTATAACACCATATACCAAGAAGTAAATTTGTTGAGACTGTGTTAATTGATGCTGCTTGTTATAACACCATGTACAAATAAGCATATTTGTTGAGACTGTGTTAATTGATGCTGCTTGTTATAACACCGTATACAAATAAGCTTTTTGTTGAAGCTGTGTTACATAATTTTCCTGTTTGAATCTTTTTTGAACAATGAGAAATTAACGTAAGTTACATGATTTTTTTTTGCTCTTTACATGCTCTCTTATTAAACCAAAGTCCGCGAGAATTATCTTTTAAAGCCTTTCCTTAGTATATCTATTTTATTACTTATACAGGCACGTGCAACTGAATGCTCCAGTTTATAGCCTTGTAATTAAGAGCATCTAGATAGGTACAGATAGTGGATGATTTTTTTCTACTCTTTATTAGCAATAAGATAGGACATGCCTGCGATATTTATAAAAACTCTACAGGTCTATTAAAACAAAAGTTCATTTAGATTTAAAATGTCGTCATTGACGTCTCTCGTGACTGGTGGACAGCAACAGTTTCTGTGAACAAAAATATTTTACGCTATAAGTTATAAACTTTTGTCATGATTTTAACATTTTTTGACAACGAGACTACGTTTGCTACAGTTCAGAAATATTTCTATACCCGAGGTTTAAGAAAATAATGTTTTATTTTTTAAGAATCAGATACTTTTATGATATGAAGATATTAATAAATTGATTACTAATATATATATATGTGAAATAAACGTTTAAAATAAGGAGTTTGAAAACGTCCGAGACTATTGTTAGAATACCTTGTTTGGAAGTAACTTAAAGTAAAGGAAAGTGGGATAAGACGGTCACCTTAACTTTATATGCGGTTTTTACCAATTAAGATGAATGTCATAAAAATCAAAATGTTTTAAAATTAGCCCTGTTTTATTATAACTGCCATTTCTAGTTAAAACGAAGACTGAATATAGATTTTAGATACTGAAAAATGTACTTCTTGTTGGGGCCACTTTACCTAACATGAGATAAAAAGGCTTCCTTCTAACTCAAAATAACTGAATATTAAAACAAATTTTGCGTTTAGTAACTGCAGTTAAATCAGTTAAACTAACATCCTGGTAAGGATCGAGGAGGCCGTGCTCCATGCGCAAGTTGCGCATTATCTAGTACAAAGACGCAAAGGATCTTAGGTGCTAGTCTGGGACAATGACGTACATTGTAACCAAAGCGTATGGCAGACAGACACGTCATTGGTATATGGTAAGATGCGAGAGTGGGTCTTAATTTAAGCCACTCATCGTAAAGCAATCGCAAATTATAAAAATAAAACCAGTGAGCTTGAACTATATTTCTTTTACGACACATTGGGTTGTCCATTATCTCTCATTATTTGAAATCAAGAAAGTAGAATTTCCTAAGAATCCCGTTTCATCGAAAGAGACCGACTTACCTCATTTTTCCTTAAAAGAAAAATCGCGTGTAAACATACGAGTATATGACTAATCGCCTCTCGACGGCAATATTATTTGAACTACTAACAACAGATGTATTGTTCAGCAAACTACCAATAAAAACAATATTTAAGAAACTATTAAACGACCAGATAGTGTTCAGCAAACTACCATTAAATTAGAACATTCAAGAGACTTTTAAATTGATAATATTCAAAGAACAATCAAAGAATGAAACACATACAAAGCGTTGAAGAAATTATTAAGTAAACAAACATACTGTATTAAAAAGTACAAAATAGACAGACAAATTATGTTTAAAAATCATTCAACAAATAGACAAATTATGTTTAAATAGCATTCAACAAATAAACAGATATTGTGTGTTTGTTTGTTTAAAGTTAAGCACAAAGATACACAATGGGCTATCTGTGCTCTGCCCACCACGGCTATCGAAACCCGATTTCTAGCGTTGTAAGTCATAAACAGATATACAGCATACAACAATATACTAAACAAAAAACAAACAAATAACTTTCAGCAAATTAACAAAGCAAACAAATAGTGCCAGTAGCCTAATCACGATAGCTCCAATGGTGAAGAATAAATGAATCATTAAATTATCACGCAATATTTGTGACTTTTACTTTAGTAAATATAACTATATTTTCCTAACATTCTGACATATAACGATGAAAATATAGATTGTCATCCTTCCAGGTAATCATTGAATCAATGGCATGTTGTTTGTAATATCATGAACCACGATAGTGATTCATAATAGAGATCGCAAGGAATTGTCCTCTCAGTGGCACAGCGGTATGTCTGCGGACTTACAACGCTAGAAACCGGGTTTCGATACCCGTGGTGGGCAGAGCACAAATAGCACATTGTGTAGCTTTGTGCATAAATTATATGCTGAAGACTCATCTAGAACTGTTAAAGAAGAGATCGTTGAGCTTACTAGTTAATAATATTTTGTGAGGTGAAAAGTTTCTTCCATATTACCTGTGTCCCCTGGTGGCTCAGTGGTAAGTCTGGTGGCTTACAACACCAAAAATCGGTTTTCGATACAAGTGGAAGGCAGAGTTTAGATAGTTCGTTGTGTAGGTTTGGGCTTAACAACGGATATATTACCGTACATCTCCTGAGTCGTGAAAATTATGAATTGTTAATTTCTTTACTTGAACCACTAAACGGCTCGGTCAGAAATCCCTAAGGCTTAGATATAGTCGTTCCCATTTTTGGATTATGGACTAGATAGAAAGTAACCAGTCGACAACACCTACCGCCTCAACTTTTCTTTACAGAATAGCGGAATTAATCGCCACTCAAAGCACCCTTAGCTGAAAGTGCTTGGCTCCACGTTTGGAACCTGACACCCTCCGATCCCCAGTCCAATATATTCGTCCTCAGAAATTGCGATTTGAGAAAAAAGCCTCCTTGTTGTTTTTTGTTTGTTTGTTTATTTTCAATTCTATAAAGTGTAATGTTGAATGTTAAACAGAAATAATACGATAATAAGATATTCCAATTACAGATAAATATAAGAGATTGTTCTTCTATTATCCAATCATACACATTGGATACTTATTTTCTTTCCCTAATTAACTGTGCTAAAAGTATTCCTACAGTCAAGCGTAGCATTATATAAGAAACATTTTCATTAAACTTTTTTAAACTAAAGTTACGACGTTAACAGTTAAAATTTGATAAAAAAAAACAAAAAACGTGATTACTATTTCTTTTCTAGCCAACTGCAAACCCTTAACAACGCCAGAAAAGCCCAAAGAATCTTGTGCAACAACTATTATAGTAAACACGTCTCGAAGACCTTCTATTCCCCAATTCAATGGAAGTAGTGGAGATTTGGAGGAAAATTCGCAACTGAATTCGACTCAGAGTATGATATTTTACTTGTTCAAACAGTTCTTCTGGCTATCTTATTTTACTGTGGTTCCTCAGGAAAATTATTTACCAGATCAGCTTGTTTTCTAGTAGGAATAAAGTGTTTTAGAAGATCAATTCAATATTAGAAAGTAACACATGTTAATTATTATACCAGATTAACCCAATTTACAACGCTAATAGTCTCTTCGGTGATTGAGCGTTAAGTTTATGGACTTATAACGCAGAAATTCGGGGTTAGATTCCTAAGAAAATAACAACAATATTTTTGATATTAGCATATTTTCCAGCTAATTCATTTTAGTATGGTAAAAGTGAATTTTTTTCACGATAACAACGAATGTTTCACTATAATAAAAGTTTATTTATGGATCAGTTATATGTAGACAAATATTGATTTTTTTTCATTAGAATACTTAGGTTTGGTTTGAATTTCAGCCAAGGCTACACAAAGATTGTTTGTTTG